ATACATACATCTCTCACTCACTCACTCATCCATTGACCCGTCCATAACATACCCGATGCGCCGACTAAGAGGTATTTTTTTTTACAAAAAAATAACTCAGTGAATCAAACATTTATAAGTATATAAGCAAAGTAAAACAAACCATTTAGATTCGACTTAACAGACAAAGATTGTCGCGCTGAAAGCAGAGGGTGCTTGTTTTTGACCAAAACGTAACATTCACGTTATTAACCTACTTAAAAAAAGACTTTTCAAACAAAAGAACAGTGAAGGAGAAATGTCTTCATTTAACTGATACCAGACTGAACCTTGTCAGATTTTTAATTACTAGTGCAAAAAATGCAAATTTGTGTAACTCGCAATGTTCATGTTCATACACACTAATTCAGTAATTGGCTTTGTATAAACACGGTCAATCAACAATAACGAAGCGAAAAGACAAATTTTTCCCTGAATTTTTTCGTGTTCATTGACATTTTTATTACACTTCAGTGGCTGTAAGTTAAGTCTTCAGTCATGGTTTTAACCTTAAAGAATATAGGCCAAATGGATCAGTAAATTGTTGATTGTGATTGCAGTGTGGCGGGCTTCAATGACTGGCCACCTGAACTTCAAAATTGAAAAAATATATACATTCCAGGTGTCCTAGTCATAGCTAGACTGTATATTGTATTGCTAGATGATACAGTTCTTTCATTTAAAAGTCTTGTCCATTTTTGATAAAATATGAAGCCCAAATACCTGAAATATGTTTAAACAGCGCTCAAAACCCAGTCAAATGTCTCTCGAGTGTTTTCAGCAATGTCCTTTGATGACGTCATCAGACATCCAACCCACATCCCACTATGTTTGGTCATGGCCGCAGAAATTACAACTTAAAACACCTGTAGAAATGCGGGGATGTTATCAATCGAGACAATTTTTTTGTCGAAGTAATTGGGAAAACTAGTAGACTTCATTAAAGGAAAAATATTGGGGGTTAGCGACACTTTAAATGTTTGAGATTTTAATATCTTGTATTAGCACGTATTCTTAAAAAAGGGAAATAAACCAGAGGTTTTCTAAATGTTTATGATATAGAATTGCTTCAAATATTCCTGAAGACTCTGTGGCAGCAACTTTAACCACAGATTAATCAAATTAGACTTAAAGGAGACTCTGCCAGTGATTTAAAGATTCCTCGCACAGTTAAAAAAGTAGACCAACATATACCTGTATTATCAAGTGGAAAACCTAATAAGACTCATAGGCAATGAGAAGAGCTACTAAATGTCACAAGGAAACTTCCCAAACACTATATAAATATTGCTGCAAACTTGGTGGTGCCTAATAGAAACTGAAAGTTAACCAGCCAGCCAAACCTTTTTAAAAAAAGGATTACTTCTTACTTAGACTGTTTATCTTACCATTACCAATTCAAGATTGTGGGTACATCGTAAATAATAAATTTGGCTTTTGTTGTAAAAACATAACAGACTTGTTGGATTAACCACAGGGAAGTCTGGAACTATATAGCTTATTTATACTAATGTAATAAAACAAAATGAATTAACTGTGTGCCTGAGTGTGTCTTTCCTTAGTTGTTCTGGAAGGGATTTGTGGTAGAGTTTCTCCTTGTGATTTTCAAATACAACTGCTTTATACCTGTCGGAAACTGGATGTGACATAAACTTCTCAAATTTCAAGTATTAACTATTAACTCTCCCTGGGAGAGAGACAACACTCTTTCCTCTTTTGTTAACATTCAAAATTTGAAGAGCAAAACTCCCTTCTGGAGAGATAACAGTTATACCTGAAACTAGAGATTTAGCACCAGTGTTCCCGGTGGATTAACCTAACCAATACTGAGGGGGGTGTAAGCAGTGGTGGATCCCCCCCCCCCCCCCCCACCTTATTTTGGGTAAAAAAAGAAGAAATCACAGAGGGAAGAAAAGCTGGCAGAGCAAGCAAAACAAAACTGGGGCCCCCTCTTAGCTCAAGGTCTGGATCCACCACTGGTAAGGGTTTGTGGTGATGCAGTTTTGCGTTATTTTTGTGGTTAGTTTTGTACAAACTTTTATTTTAATGCTGCATTGCAGTTTTTTTACACTTTTCTATGTGGTTTTACGGTTTTCGGACCCCCTTACGACCCCCTCACTGAGATATCACAGTGCCTATTAAATACAAAGGTTTTTGCGCCAGGTTAGGACCACACGGAAAAAGTAGATCTTTGGAAGGGCTATTGGAATCCACAAAGAAAAATTGGGGTAGCCATGCATCTTTTCGAGATAATTAGCCTTGAATCTCAACAAAAATGCTGACATCAGCATTTTTCTGAAAAAAGAAGGAAAGGATATTTCTTCACCGATTTCCTTAGAACTCGCCTTTACATACAGAAAAGCAAACATATGTAGACATCATAAAACTGCATGGTAAATGGCAACATAAAAAACATTTTTGGTATGTTTTTAATAATAAAATTGTTGCAACAGCACTTTTAGCATCTCTGACAGCCTTCCTCTGGTTCAGTTAAGATACAGTCTAAATACCTTTTGCTCACAACCAGAAACTAATGACATGTTGAATAGGCTTGCCACTTCAATTTCATAACATAAAATATAGGGCTAACCACATGCTTTTTAAAGTTATTGATCGTTTTTGAAAACTTTTACGGTGCCCATCACATTTTTTCCTGTCACCTCCCCAGTAAGTAAAACAATTGCATATTTCGCACTTGTTCTGCGTGTGCACTACGCCATCTGCAGATACATGTTTACAGTTGGATTTCAGTATAATTTTCGACAGTGAGTGGTTAGCGATATGCTCCTATTCTAGCATTCCTGGTTTAGTACAGATTCATTTAACTTGATTTGGTCACAGTAGGAAAATTTTGTTTTCATTTTAGTTGTGTACTCAGTAGGGTAGTTGATTGCGTCAATGTCACAAAAGTAGGCACCGTCCTTAAAGTGGCTGAACACAGTTTTTGACACCTGTGTTTCATTCACCTTGTTCCCTCAGTTGTCAAACATGGCAGCAAGCAAGTTAATAACACAAACTTTGGTTTTTTGATGGTTAAGCTGATATAAGTGCCATTGCCATGGCAACATGAATAAACATAAACAGGCCTTTAAAATCGGTTTTGTTTATTTGCAGAAAATCTAGTCCTTAGATTTTCTTCATAATTTGCATGCAACAAGCTTGTGACGATTCTCACAAGTTAACACCATTTTG